ATGGGTGACCCAGCTATGCACTTGCTGACATGCATTTCCTAAAAATTCTCGATGACTCAGGTTAAATAATGACTTTATTGGTTTAAATTCAAGTTTAACATTAAAATATAAAAGCTATATGGAATAGGAGAAAACACATTAAAACAGGTAAATGGATTTGTATACTTCTACCTAATGGGCACAATGTAGGGGTATGTGGCACACCTCCTGGGGGCAGGACACAATTGTAACAGTGACCTTACTTAACAAATGCAAACATTATAATCTAAGCATTTGTACTCTCATATTAATCTGAAAAAAAGTAAATAAAATTAACTTTCCCACTGATAAATGCAAGCATACAAACAAAAACCCACCAGGAATTGGAATCACTAGAAAAAAGAAAATCTGAGACGAGCAGCCAAACGCTCACCTACTGCCTGTGTTTGGGCCACAACTGTGGCTCCAAGATTCTCAGCTGCTAATGCAGAAAGTGGAATGTGATTAATTACGAAGTGTCCATTCAGAGGAGGAGAGGCATGCCTGGTGGTCCCAAGGACCCAACTCAAGTTGCCAATGAGTTCTGGACAGAATCCCACTGGGAGCTGGAGGTGGGGTGCTGGTCCCTCCCTCCAGTGCAGGAACAAGGTTTCTGAAGCTGTTTTTGAGGAATTCCATGGTAAAAGCTGGGAGGTAGCATCTTGTGCCTCACAGATAGGCTCCTGGTTAGTCCGAGAGCATCTCAAGCCCTTGGGGCTGCAAGGCCAGAGGGCTCCATGCTGAGCGCTTCTCGCCAGGACACTGCTCATTGCTGGGGCCAGGAGGCTTCAGATGGAGGCTGCTGGACTCAGGGAGGGTCCAGTGAGCTTTCAGGTGGTGCTGACGCTCTTCTAGGGAAGCCAAGGTGTCTAAAATGCATAATGAACTAGAAACCCATTCAACATAAAGGAAGAGATAAAAATAGCAGGAAGAGGATGCTAAGAGAAAACATGGGAACTCCATGAAACCCCCACAGAAGACTAAACTTAGTCCTTTTTCAGTTTAAAGGTAATTTATGGCAATAGAGCATGCCTCAAACCAATGATCTGAGTCACAAGATTAATTTGGTTGACAGACGTTTGTGTTTGAGGGTGGCCCACTTGTCCTGGCCCTGAGTAGGGCTGTGGGCACCTGCTGGTGAGTGTAGGCATGGTGAGGAGCTCAGCTGGAAGGAGAGTGTCTAGCTACGGCTGGCCCCTCTCTGGCCCCAAGCAGTCCCTTGCCATCCAGACACTGTGCCCAGCTCTCCTAAGTCCCCATCAGGAAGCTTGGGAGGGGACAGTAGGACTCTGATCCCAGGAATGTTTCCTGATGGTGCAGGCTTATCTGGAGTGGCTGAAAGGGGCCAACTGGCCCAAAGGGACTCTGGTAGCTGAAGCAGGGTCCCCCTGAGGGCCAAGGGCAATGCTGCCCAGTTAGCAACTGCCTCTGTCCAGGATGAGGCCTGAGGCAGAGCTGAGCAGACTCTTGTCACCCGTGTGTGGCCTGGGCCACCACTTAGGCCTTTGGTACCTTGGCATCCATCCCTGTTCTTTGGGGTGGTGACAATGTGTTGGAAGGATTGAGTGCCCTGTGTGCAGTGTGTGTGCTGTCTGTGCTTGCCGCCATCACCCTACTGCAGCTCATGTGTTATACACACAGTGCACACATCACACATGTGGCACATACAGTGCATACATCACACATGTTGCACATATTATACATGGAGCACACACATCACACATGTACACACATATGCACGCGCAGCATACATCATTCACCTGCTGTACATGCAGAGCACACATTGCACACACATTGTACACACAGTGCACACCTGCAGTTGAACCTGCTCTCATTTCCCCCGCTGACATCCTCTGGGTGAGGATGGCACAGACTGTGGGGTCCTAAACGTGTGTGGTGGGGACCCAGTGAGGGAGGCAGCATGACGCTGTCTCACTGGGCAGGTGACCAAGTGACACCTCGAGGCCTTGGGTAGCTCTGAAGCCATTGTGGCTTCATAGCAAATCTGCATTTGGAGGGGGTACTGCACGCCTGCTTGGGCCACTCTGTTCGTGCATGTCTTGAGTCCCTGGTAACTGGTTCTGAAGTTTGTCCCCGTGAATGTGTGGCTTCCTTCTCCCACAGCTGAACCTCCAAATCGGGCAGTTATAGCAAGTGCCCCAGATGTGGGAGTGCACCTCGGGAGGTCAGGCCTATGGCAGGGGATTTGGGCCCTTGCTTTTCTGAGCTCCCTCAGAAGCCAACACTGAAAGACTAAGCTATGGAGACCCAAGGCTGGTTTTGGACACATTTGTGTGCCACAGCTGTGTCATCACTTCAGTGCTGATAACCCTGAGAGTTGACGTGGCAGTAGAGAAGAGCCCATTTCATATTTTTTAATAAAGCTCGTGTCCTATACGTTATTATTAAGTATTAATGCGAGCCCCTCTTTAATTAATGTGTAGCAGCTTTTGGTTGTTCTTAGGGGCCAGTACTTTGGCAGGGGTCTTGTTGTGGGTGCTGATGCTTGCTCATGTTCCCTTTTTTGGGTTTAAAGGTTGGGGGTGGTTTTTCCTAGGGGCCAGGGATGGGCCTGTGGAGCACTGTCCCCATTCAGACTGATGCGAGTGAGCTCTGCCTGGGAGCGTATGTGAACCTGTATGTGGGGGTCCTACTCTGAGAGCTGTTCATCTGCTCTATACCACAAAGCACCTGTGGTTTTATGCGGGCAGGGTCCTGTGAGGGTGAGGAGTATGTGCACATTGGGCTTTGTCTTTGTGTGTGGGGGGCACATCTGCTCACATGCTTGCCCACACACGAGTACATACACACTTCCACTCTCTGAGTCTCTGAGAAACCAGGGTGGTTTCTCCTGGGGGGGGGGTCTGGTAACATCAGATGCTGGTGTTGTGCAGGTGGGATGTGCAGATGCAGGTGGGTCCAGGGAAGGCTCATCTGAGTTAAGAGACAGTATGTGTAAAAGAAATGTGATTTTATAATAAGTGTTTTTTTTCTAGAGACGAGGTTTCACCAGGCTGGAGTACAGTGGCTGGCTATTTATAGGTGGGACTGCAGCTCTCTGCAGCCTCGAGCTCTTGAGTAGCTGGGACTGCAGGTGCATGCCATTGTGCCCAGCTAAATGTGTTAAACTAGGACACTGTTACTGGGAAATCTGTAGACATTCTGCCTTCATTGAAAGACAAAATGATGTTCCTTTTTGCATTTAAATGAAGACTTCTCAGTATCCAAAGTGCTGAAAACTCTTTAAGCATCTTAGGTCTCCCTTTGAAGATTTTGTTTTCATTATAAAGAACTGGTTTTCTAAACTTTACCCCCTATTTGAGAAAATTATAAAAATTATGAAACCAGTGAGATCCAAATGACAGTTGGCTGCCATGGAGCTGGTCTGAAGAGTCATAGGTGAGTGTTGGGTGGGCTCCCTGCTCTGTCCCTTCCATAGCCCAAGTGGCTGCAGGGGTTACCCCAGCCTGAGGTCTTGTATCATCTGCATCTCCTGGTTTAATTTTTATTTCCCAGTGGCATTTTTCATATACTTGTTGGCCATTTGTCTTCTTGGTGATATATCTATTAAAATCTTTTTCCCATTTTAAAATTGAATTGTCATCTTATTGACAGAGTTAATAAACTCTTATTGCTAGAGTTCTTACTACATATATTCTGGATACAAATCCTTTATCAAGATAACTGATTTTCAATTTTTTCCTGCAGTCTGTGTTTTCATTTTATTAATGATGCCTTTTAAAACATAAAAGTTTTAAATGTTTTTAATTTTGATGATCATCACTTCTTGGCCTTTTGGCTAAGATCAAGTGTAGTATCTGTTCTTATCAGTTTAATTTCAATGGTCTGATTTACTAGTTTTTTTCTTTTAGCAGTTGTGCTTTTGATTGATTTGATTTCTTATACAAGAAATATTTACCCAATTCCAGGTTATAGATTTGTTCCTATATTTTCTTCTAGGGGACTTATAGGTTCAGTCTTACATTTAGGTGTGTGCCCCATTCGAGTTAAGCCTTATATGTGGTTGAAGTCAGGGTTCACAGCCATCGCTTGGCTGGAGTCACTTCTGGTCCCAGCTCCATTTACCTTCCTGTTGCCTTCTAACCAAATGTGGCTGCTGCTTCAGTTTCCCCATGAATAAATTACTCGTTTCCTGTTTTGGACCTTAGCTATAAATGTGCATAAAAATGGAATTACATCAAATTTTATATTAGTTGTATGTGTGTATAAATTGTAGTTATCACTCAATTTCCTAAACAGCTAACCAGACCCGGTGTGGTGTCATTTTTGGCATGAACCAGCACTTCCTATCCTGGCCTGTGTTGCCAAGAACAATATGAAGGTTTGTTTGATGACAAAGCCCACTGGCATTTTGCCTCTTGATTAGGGTTTGCAGTTTATTTTAAGTCTCTGCATTGCTGCTGTTTTTGTGGGTGACTTACACATGGGTAGAATGAGCCATGGACTCCACACAGAGGGTAAGCTGTGGCGGGGTCCTCACTCTGCGGGAAGTGAGGATGGCAGCTTAGTGAGGATTTTGCACCATATTCTGGGGGAAAAGAGCAATGTGGAACACTAAGATTTACTTTCAGTGCACAAAGTAAGTCATCACCTACCTCAAACCAGTCACCTTCAAAACATTGTGATTGTCCTGGAGTGTTTGTGCTAAACTTGAACACATACTATACAATGGAAACTGTTTTGTTAATGACCACATTGAGGTTGAGGTTTCTGGTTTTCTTAAGCTGCCAACCACACCAACTACAGAAACTCACATGTTCACCCAGAGGCCTGCGACCAGCGTGTTCATGAAGGTGTTTCATGGTCTGCTTGCTGGAAAGTCCATTTTTACCCTGATTGAGGAGCTGCAATTTCATGTCTCACATGTGAACCGCCATGCAGTGTTTTTATGGCATGTGTAAAAACAAGATCACATGTGTGCCGGTGGCCAGCACTCTAATGTTGTGCTTTTATCTGTTCAGCCCTTTCTATGGAGAAGACTTCTACTGTGAGATTCCTCGGAGCTTCCGTCACCTATCATTCTACATTTTCGATAGAGATGTCTTCCGGAGGGATTCCATCATAGGTAGGTACTTGGATGGGGATTTTCTTTCCTTTCTGCCACTTCTGCATAGGATCTCATCCTTCCAGAGGTGGAGTCTCCCCTCAACCCCCTGCCCTGGGCTAGGCCAGAGGGAAATATTCGCATTTCAGTCTGGAACCCCATGGAGGCATTGTGTGGATGCCATAGCCCTCAGGGGTCAGTTGTGGCATGGCAACAGCCTTGGTCTGTGTCTCCTGCCCCAGTGGCCACCAAGTCCATCAGTGCTGACGAGCTTCACAGCAAGTGCTCACATAAGCAGAACATGCTTCCCAGGCTCCCTGGGCCTGTCTGCAGGGGGGCCTTTGTGGGATATGAGACCTCTCTCCTCATGACCAGGCTGCTCTCCCTAGACTCCTGTCTCTGGCCATGGTGTGGACAAGGGAAGGCCCTGAGGGGCACTGGCAGTGGACACTCACTCTGAGTCCCTCCTTGGCTGCTCGTCTTTATTTTAATGCACGACTCTCAGTGTGAACCCTAACCTCTGTTGTTTACCTCTCTATTTGAAATGTGTTCCCATCAAAGGTGTGGTGAGACTTGACAGTCTCTTCCTTAATGGCCTAAGAGCCAGGGATATGGCTAGGGCCTGAGTCCAGTAGGCAGTGGGTATGGGTGGCATTGTCACACAGGGCCAGCACTTCCCTGCACTCAGTAGTGCAGGGCCATGAGCATCCATTGCTTAGAACCTCAGTCTCCACAGGTGGGAACCCTCTAGTGTGCAGTGCTCTCTGAGGTGTGCGGTGTTCTCTGAGATGTGAGATGCTCTCTGAGGTATGTGGTTCTCTTTGAGGTCTGTGGTGTTCTCTCCAAGGTGAATGGTGTTCTCTGAGGAGTGGGTAGTACCCTCTGAGGTATGCGGTGCTCACTGAGGTATGTGTGGTGCTCTCTCTGAGGTGAGTGGTGCTGTCTCTGAGGTTTGTGTTGCTCTCTGAGGTATGTAATGGACTTTCTGAGGTGTGTGTAGTGCTCTCTGGTGTGTGTGGGATATTCTCTGAGGTGTGGGGTGGTCTGTTCAAGGTGTGTATGGTGCTCTCTGAGGTCTGTGTGGTGTTCTCTGAGGTGTGTGTGGTGCTTTCTGAGGTGTGTATGGTGCTCTCTGAGGTATTTGGGGGTGTTCTCTGAAGTGTGTGATGCTCCCTGAGGTGCGTATGGTGCTCTCTGAAGTGTGAGTTGCTCTGAGGTGTGCAGTGCTCTGAGGTATGTGGTGCTCTGAAGTATCCTGTGCTCTCTGAGGTGTGTGATGCTCCCTGAGGTGTGTGTGGTGCTCTCTCTGAGGTGTGTGATGCTCTCTGTAGTGTGTGGTGCTCCCTGAGGTTTTGAGGGCTGATCTCTGAGTTGTACATGTGCTCTTTGTGGTGTGAGGTGCTCCCTGAAGTTTTTAGGATTCTCTCTCAGAGGTGTTAGCATTTTATGGGGACTTCTGGGGAGAATGAAGCACAACAGAGCTATGGGTCCCTCTCTGTGGAGACTTGAAGGGGGAGGACCTCAGGGAACCTTTCTCCTGCTGTCCCAGGTGGAAGCTGTAGCTACTGTCAGGGTAGGTCAGGTGGCCAGTATGTTGCCCGCTGTGTATATGGACAGCCTCCTGTGGCCCTTCTGAGCACCTCTGTGTGTAGATGAGCAGCTTGGTGGAGAAGGGACCCCACATACTATGGTTTGCCAAATGTGTGATAGCAGTTCTAAAAGTGATAACTGAAATAAAATTTAACAGAAACTTAAAAAAAGAAAAAACTTCCTTAAAACAACAGAATCTTTTTAAGGAAGAGTAAAAGACCAAACCTAAAGAAATGAGACCTCCCATTAACCTTGAGAAACACCCTATACACAACAGACATACCAAAGAATGTGAAATGTTTAAAAATAAAATCCTAGCCTGTGTCACTGCACTTATGAATTATGCATTCATAATGCTTCATACTATGAGACACACAACAAAAGTCTTGCCCTCAAAATAGTCTCTCTTGGTATATTTCGAACTTAATATGATTTGATAGAATTACTAAAAATAAAAACAGCTGAAATATACTTTGAATCAGCTTATTCTAAAGGATAGCTGAAGTGTTTTTTCCAAAGTCTCAAAAAAAAAAAAA